AAGAAACTAACAAATATTTTCATTTATACCACAATAGATATGCCAGTAAGTATGTATGGAGTGTAAGCCTATACCAGCAATATTCGTTTAACAAAAATCCTAACCAACCAGTGAAGTATGACTAGTGTATGTATCACAAGAATGTATATACATATGTATGTATATATTTGTCGCGATCAATGAGAAAAATCTTGTCCATACATATTATAACGAGGAAATGAACGTTAGAGAATAGTAAATAAAGTGGGATAAACAATTAGCTAATCGCGCATCCGTATTTCAGGAATAAAAGATATTTATTTATTTTTTTTTAGTTTGTTAAAAGAATAAACTTATTTTGAAAAAAAAAAACAGCAATAATTAGGGGGTAATGGTGTGGTAGCAATAATTACCAAAAACTTATTAATAATGTTTTATTGAGGAAAAATATATTATTTACAATAGTTAAGTAATATTGAACATTTTTATTTCATTTTTTTTTGTTTGTACCAAAACCATATAATTTTTTTTTGTATTATTATACTTATTTTATAGTGCATATATTGCTATAAAAAATATGTATTAAAATGTGCATGAGTTGGTGTTTACTTAGATGTATGTATATATGTTTTAATGTTGGTTTACATGTATGTACACATATGTGTGTTATGGTTTTATGTTTACGTATGTTTGTTTTCTTTGAGAAATGTGCTTACTTGTCGCCAAAAGCTGGCTGTTAGTTCTTTTGTTGGGATTTGGTTATAAATGTATGTGTGTGTATGTATTTGTAATTGGTAATGAGTGAAAAGCGTTTATTTTGTAAATTATTTTTAGTTGATTTGTTACATTTTTCCATTCTTTTATATATATATTTATTTTTTTTTTTAATTTATTTTGATTTCTTAACCGTTAGTTACTGCGTCTTTTCGTTTTCTAATATCATCGAAATTATTTTTTTAATGTCTTAGTCTAGTTTAATTTTTTATGCTGTTTTAATGATTTTTTTTAGTAATATAAATAGCTTCCTTTCCTTATTTTATTCAGTTGTTTGTATGAGCGTATATACATGTTGGTGAAAAATTATAATTATTATAATATGTTATAAAGTTATAAATGAATCTGGTAATGAATTTCATTGAATTTTAGAGAGAATTGGAGTATTATAATTTCGTTAACATATGAATTTAGTATTAAATTTCACTTTTATATATAAATTTTTTTTTATATCATTAAAATAACAAATTCCAGAAGAAGGATGAAGGATCGAAAAAGTGTATTAATATCCTTTTATATGTACTCATATTTTGAAATATAATTTAGTAAATAATATTTAAATTTTCAATAAAAAATTTCATGTTTTTTTTTTGTTATTGAGCAACTTTTGTTACATTAGGTTTAGGTTAAGGTTTCATAGAATGAGTTAGTTTGATTATCAACACCCCTCCTTGCTGCAATAAATTTTTTTTTGATTAAAATATGTGTATATGTCTGTGTATGTATGTATACATATGTCTGCTGTATGTATGCATGAAAGAGAGTTTAAAAACTAAACTAAAGTGGGCGAGGGAGCAGAGAATTTGTTGTTTTATTTCCAGGGCTTAAGGTTAGATAAATCGTATACATATACATATATAGTAGATTAGTTTTAGTGTGTTTCTTCATCGTTAGAAAAATAATTTTCAAATTTATCGGCCAATTCCTGTTTTTCTTTATTATTATTATTATTTTTTTTGCTTTTGTTTTAATTTTGTAGCATAAAATTTTTGAAAAAAATAATTTCAATATTATTTGTTTTTTTTTTTTCTGGTACACATTTGCTACTTCAGTGGGCACAAATGTCAGTGGAAGGTGAAAAATAAGTAAATAATATTTTTATGGTACATATTCCTAGAATTATATATGTATAAAAAGGGTTAATTATTAGTTGACAGTTTTTCACTTGTTGGATACTTCTTAAATTTGTTAAAATTTTAATATTTTTTTTTTCAATTTATTCTTATGATTTTTTCACATTAGTTGAGTGACAGTGTTATAAACGAAAGTAGAATCATACAAAGCTGCAGAAAGTATTAAGACTTACCGTTTGAAGTATTAAAAAGAAACTGTTGATAAAATTGATAAACCTGAATGAGTTTTACTACATATGTACATACACATATAGTTATATATGCATATTTATTTATATATTTTAGATTTTAAGCATTATATATATGCAAGTCCCACAGATATACGGAAATATTTTGCAATAGATTTGTATGCCATGCAGTAGACCGAAGAAAAAAAAACATACAAAGCTGTTCAGCTGAGACTTTGAGACGTACACGTAGATATTAGACTATAGAGATTGCGTGCGACGTTTAGAGGGCATACAAAAATTGCACGTGAAAAAATTCTGTGCGACTTTAAAAGCTAATAATATTTATTTAAGAAGAACTCTTGAATGTATCCTGCTTTTTAGAAAAATACTTGAAATCAAATATGATTTGTACTCTTTTGCACTTTTTAATGCAACTTAAACTACGAACGCGAGCTTAAATGTAAGCTATGCGAAAATCCAAGAGAGGAAAGTTTCAACTCTTTGCGAAAAAAATCACACTCATCTTTAAAAGTTTAAATTTTTATTATGTTCGAAAATGTTTATTTTTATTTTTCCTTTAAACTCACAATTTATTTTAGTATAACTACATAGAAATATCATTATTATATTGTATACATACATTATATAGCTGAAGAACCATTTATTTTATTAGCTGTTTATGCTGAAACCACATAATGTGTAAGTAGTTTTCTTTTAGACTGATTCAAAAGAAACTCAATACATGTTCATTGTACCCATTTGTTTACACATACATATATACAAACGTATAGCGAAACCCTTTTCTTGACTGTTATTGAATTTTGTGAACTTAATTTAAAGTTTTTTGTTATTATATTGATTATTTTTGCTCAATTAATGCTTTAAATTACCAAAATTATGGTGAATATAACAATATAAAAAAAGAAAAAATAAAACAAAAACAATTTTTTTATATTTTGAAAGTTTATATTTAATTTTGAGAGGTTTTAATTTCTTAAATAAATTCTTACTTTTAGAATTTATATTGTAGTACAATCATTTATTATGATCAAAAAGAAAGTAAGCAAACTTTATCATTTATTTTATTGATTATTATTATTATTAGTTTTTAAATGAAAGTCTGCAGTGTTATCCATTTAAATAACAAAGTCAACAAAAAATAAAGATAATTGTATTAATGACAACCAATCATCATCACCTTTCGTGAATTAATATACAAAAACATATTTTCTTCGCATAAAACTTTAATATTTGATTAATTAATTTAAATATATATATATATATTTTTTTAACTAATCGGTGTAATTTTGTCTAACTAACTAAGCTAAAACTAAATATGGCAGGACTTAAAATGTGTTAATGATGATTTGTCTACTAGAAGTGTGTTAACTTAACGCAAGTCTTGCGTTCGTTTTGGAATTGCTAATATAATACTTGATTTTCGTTTGTTTGAAATGTGTTAAAAAGGATTTTTGTAAAAAGAAAAAAATACTACAGTTAATTGTAAACACATACATGTATGTATGTATATACATACTTTTGTCTAAAAATATGACAATTGAAATTTTTTTACCTCAACTGTTTCATAAAAAATTGAAAAAAAAAATACAATAATAAAATAATACAAAATACATACATACTCGTATGTATATGTTAACCTTTTTGCTGTTTGCCTTTCGTTAAGTTAAAAAAATATAAATACTAATGGTAAATATGCCGTACTACAGTCTACTACAGATAATCCACATTTCGCTCGGGTGGGTTAATACTTCGTACTTTGCTTTTCTGTGTTCGTTATGTCGTTGAAATCTTTTAAATATCTACTAAATATTGAATCTATTTAATTACTATTTTTATAAGTGTCGAAATGACATAAGATATTTTATTTTCCTATTAATATACAATATGTACTTCATGTACATATGTATATATATATAAATTTTTGGTAATTTCTTTGGTTTTCGCTGCTTATTTATTATTATTTTTTAATTTACAACTAAATATGTATAATAAATACATACATACATTATTTGTTTTTTTGTTTTTAGCTAAGAGGAAATTTTAAAGTAATCTTATTTTGTTGTTAAAAGTGTATTACATTATTTCGTTGTGTGGGTGTGTGTGTAATAATATAATGGTTGGCAACCCTACCTTATCCCAAGACTTTTCCGTGATTTTATTTTTTTTTTTAATTTATTCAAAGAAAATGAAGGGCAAGCAAGATCCCCAGTTGCTTAAAAATGCAATAGCAAAATTCAACAGCACCTAAATGTATGCTTTAAACGATGAGTAGTGGCACATACATATCAGAAAAATTTCGCTAGCCAATAAGCAAATATACTCTTGTAAATTTTCAAGTTTTGCTCTTTTAGCTGATCTTTTCAGATATTGAAAATTATTAAGTCGTACTGCCACTTTCACATTCGCAAATTTCTATTTGAATTCGGGTTGTAATTACACAATTCAAGCTCGGGCTTGTCTATGCTCGTGAATTTTTGTGAATTGAATCCTGGATACTCAGTTGTGAGTGAATTATAGAGTAAGTAACAAAGGTGTATGTTTTTCGAAGTCATTTTCATACATATATTCAAATATTTTCTGAGAACAACTCGAAAATTTTTAACATCGTTCGAACTGTAAGGGAAATTTCAATGACAATTGTTTGTGAATTGCCAAACGATAAAAAATGTGTGGAACAAGAGAGAGCGTAAAAAATAGAAGCGTTAGTGCAAAGGAGAATAGCCTTTTTTCCTATAAAATTTGTGAAAATCAGAGCATATCAATATATTTTCATAGGAAATTTTCAAATTCACATTGCGAAATCAAAATGTGAAAATGGAGGAACTGCTGATTATTTTAATTTTAACCGATGTGCTTGCTTTGCGAAGGCTTAAATAACAGATGTGAATAGTAAAATGAGTTTAGTTTTTGCCAATTTAGTATCGGCAATTTTTGAACAGACTCGACGGTAACTAAGAAAATCGTTCTTACATAAGGAAAAAAGTAAGTAAATAAAAAAAAAACAAAAAAGGTGTTTTTCTATTTTCTTAAATTAACAGATAGGTTCACAGTCTCCAATACCAAAAGCTGTAGAATAATGAAAAAGATTGACTGTTTCGATTTATGAATTGTGTTCTTCTTTAGCGCAATGTTAGAATTAATCTATTTTTTTTGAAGTAATCCGTTTATGAGATGTATCTAAGAGAATTATGAAAGTATTTGATAATTTTAATCAAATTATGCAATAGTTATTGGAAGATAAGCCCAAATAAACTGGTTTTCCGAATAAATTGGGATATAGCGTTTTCGAAGAGATTTTTATGTGTCAAATGTGATTTCAGGTTCAAAAACTGCTTACTACGTCAATTTTTACTAAAAAAAAACAGGCGGTTTTACCTTCATTGTTTTTCATTTTTGACGTGGCTTTCTACGAAGACTGCCAAATCTTAATCGTTAAAATTAACATGATGCGAGAGTTAAATAATTCTAAATGACGTATGAAAAGTAAAAATGTATTATATTTCAGTGAAACATTGTGCTTAGGGGTTTTCCGGGTCGCTGAATACAAATCTATGAATTTAGAAATTCATGTTTTTTTTATTCATAATTAGCGAATTAGCGAAACATTTGTTTAGGAAATCTCTAAGATATTTTTTTGATTCAATTTGTGAGTAGAAAATAAATAATTAATTAAAAAGCTAAACAGACTTGAGGAGGCTTTAGCCTTGGAATTAAAAGATGGTCCTTGAACAGGTTTTGATCAAAAAGTTTTCAAAGCGAAAAACGACGAAATTTCACTGTAATATTCCCCAAACTATGCTAAAGAACCTTGAATTCATCCAATCAGTTGGACTTTAGCATTTATCTTCGTTAACATAATGGAGTCGCCAGAAGGTACATCAAAGACTTTTGAAGCATGGTTGCCCGCCATAATTTATAGTTATTTTTGGTTATATTTGTAATGGAAATCTTATTTTTTCCGAAATTTCCTTTATAGTGGAAACTCCCAATTTTCAATTGGATTAAGTATGCGCCGGACTATGGCGCTTTAGTGTGCTTTTTGTGTATTCATTATGTTTATATAGAGTTGTGTATGTGGATGTGTGCATGTGTGTGTGTGAGCCTCTACGATCTACGAGTATTGGTTTTAACTTCTTATTTCACCACATAAAGAATTGATCACATATGTACATAATGACTGAAGAAACGATCTTTTATATCGGCATGTTTTATCTTACAATGGGCTTTCATATTGTCTCGACGCGTAAATTTCTGCCCGCAGACAGGACACTCATGACTCTGAGGCCTATGAATGTTGGCGTGATGCCAGCGATTCGAAACGATCTTATTGCAGCTGACGCAACGATACAGAGTCGGCAGAGTGCCGGACAATTGCACGAAGAGCGTTGAATAGTCGATATTGTGATCGCGACGATTGGCAGCAGCTGCTGCTGCGGCGGCCGCGGCGGCGGCAACAGCTGCATTTGCACCGGTCGGTGTGTTGTTGGTTGGTACGTTTGGCGGTGAGGAGTTCGAATTTGTGGCAACGTGTTGCAATTGTATATTGTTGTGGTTATGTTCGTCGGCTGTATTGCGCGGTTGATTATGCGTATGTTGCATATGATGTTGTAGTTGCTGTTGCTGTTGCTGCTGTTGTTGTTGTTGGTGATGGTGATGATGTTGTGCCAGATTGGCGGCAACCACTAAAGCTTGTTGATGCTGTTGTTGTTGTTGTTGGTGCTGCTGCTGCTGTTGGTGGTGATGATGTGGCTGATAATTTGTGTTGTGCTGATGTGCATATACCAATTGCTGCTGCTGTTGTTGCTGTTTATGTAGCGTTGCTGACACAGCCGAGGCATTTGAGGAAGCTGGCGACAGTGCAGCAACGGCAGCCGCTGCAGCGACCTCTGCAGAGCAAAGCGCCTCCAAAGCATTGCCACAACGTCCGAGATTAATAACGGTTTGTGGATGCACATGAGGATGACGATGCGTGGGCAAGGGCGGTGGCTGCGACGTCGCAGTCAGACTAATGACGTCATTTAACGGTCCGTTGCGCGCGTGCAACATCATTTCGGCCACTTGCTGCTGGTGTTGGTGGTGGTGGTGGTGGTGATATTGTTGTTGAGCATGCAAATGCTTCTGCTGTTGTTCGAATAAATGTTGTTGCTGTTGCTGCTGATGCTGTGCATGTTGGCTACGTATAGCCGCCTCTTGCCTGCAACGTTTGTAATGACAATTGTAATTGCTGTCTATAATTTTATGATCACAATCACTATGACAATCATTATCATAATCATAATCATCATCATCATACAGCTCACTCGGCTGATTCTCATCAGCAACATCAATATGTGCATCGGCAATATGTTGTTCGGTTTTCATAGCATCTGTTGCACGTATCACATGCCGTCTATTATGACGATAGGCAATCTGACGTTGCAAGTGTGCGCCAGCAGCAACATCATTATCGACGTCATTACTATTGCTGCCGACGTCGTCATCAACGTTTGTTCTAACATTAATATCATTGTCATCGTCATTATTATCGTCGTCATCATCATCATCATCATGATTTGTTTGGTTTTCGTCATCGCGTACGTTGGTGCCTTTGCCAACACCAACACCATCATCACCTGCAATCACAGTTTTGGAATTATGCGGTCACCAGACACTTTCATTGTTTGGGAGTTTGACTGAATTTTAAACATTTTTGTTTTGTTTGGTGGAATATTTCAAGTAGTAGCACTAACACGCGGGTATAATTTGGAATAATAGCTTGCACTAGCCTTTAAATGTTTTTGGTTTTATATAATGCTGGTGGGCATAAAGGCAAATTAACTACTATTTTGTACAGATCTTGTACGTTCGGCATGGAATATAATTGAATATTTGGATGTATTAAAAGCGCTAAAAATTAACACAAATCTAATGGAGGAAAGGTTTGCTGATTCAAAGGGCAAATGGCAAACGCAAAGTGGAAATGGGAGAACCAACTCAATGGGGATATCGATTTTCCAAACAAAAGAAGATAGGGAATAGGAAAAATGATAACTAATTTGAAAGCGTTTAAAATATTTCCAAAACTAAAAGCGTTAAAAACTCAAAAAAAAAAAAGGTTTTGTCTATTTCAGTGGCAATTCAAATTTTAAAGTCTACAATTCTCACAAAGAACAACACAAAAAGTTAAGCAATGAAATTTACAAGCGTTACATGCGCTAATCAATCAACAACCGATGAAGCCGTTGAGAAAGGAACAGTAAGTTCTTTTCAAAATACTTGAGTTTTGACTACAAAAACCCGTCACAGGAGTAACGCACAGGATTAGTTAATTGAAGAATGATCGTGATTTGCTTAAAAGTGTTGAAATTGGGTACAAATAATCGGTATATGTATGTTTATGATATCGAAACCAAACTCAATAGCCTCAATAGGCGAGCCTACGAGAGCCAATACTGGAGAAGCACGAAATGCACTTGGCAACCCTTCATTGTTCGTGAATTTTTGTTTGCTCTCTACGAATTTTTCCTGTTCCCAAGATTAAAGAGACCTATGAAAGGTAGGTATTTTGACACCATTGGAGAGATAAAAGTAAAATCGCTGAAGAAGCTCAAAGACATACCAAAAAATGTTTCGAGATTTGGAAAAAATGCTGAAGTCAGTGTATCATATTCGAGTGGAACGACTTTAAACTAATATTTTTTATAGCGAAAATTAATTTTACTTTTAAAAGTTTGCCGTTTTCGAAATATTTACGCTTGGAAAAAGGGAAATTGAACTTTGCAACTCCTTTCAAAAGGATAAATCTAAAACTTCAACTGCATGAGAATTTAGTACGAAATTCGGGCAGATTTTGTTTCTCATAAGTGATCGTCCAGCGTAAAATATTCCTGCTATATCTCAAAGTGTGCTCGAACAGCCATCGACATTAGCTCGACACCGTTACAAGGAATTACATATTTCACGCACTTTTTTGCGTAAAATTTTGCATAAAGACCTCAATATGAAGCCATAAAAAATCCAATTGGTCTAAGAACTGAACACCACCCAAAGCAATTTCGCTTCTATTACTGGACTGCCTGAATATTTCTTGGCATGAGTTAAGCATTTTTACCCAGCTACGTCAGCAAGCAAAACTGCCTCGTGTATACCGGCTGCATCATTGGGCCGAAATGAAAACGAGAAAGAGCTGCTTTTAGTGTTACTGTAGTTCGTATCCTTAACAAGCTATGTACCACACACACAACGTTACAACCGATCTTTTGTATATTGAGCTCGAAAGTTGCATAATTAATCAGCGAAGACGCAGCTGCGATTTGACTCAATTAGACTGTTTGTTGTGGAAACAACCCATACAGAGATGATACATGACATGAAATAAAGTGAAATTGAAGTAGCCATTGCAGCTTCAGAGGGTCGCACAATCAAAAATGTATCGAAAATAGACAGAATAGAAAAGACCTACTGCAAGGTCAGTCGCGCAGCTGCATATATGAAAGAATATGCAAAATCATTAAAAATATTTCTACGCCTTTTTTATAGTAATTTTAAAACGCAAATATTAGGTCAAGTAAAAAGTTTGTCGGTTTTTATCTAAGAGATGGCGTTATGCTCCATAGTACTAGTGTTACGGGACGAATCATGTCATACCATACGGCACTGGTAAAGTTTGTATTTGATAGTTTTTCGATTGATTGACTCAGTACGTTGTAAGCGCCGGTTAAAGATGGACACCAGCATAGCCAAAATTCGCTATAAAATATTAATTTAGTTTATGCGCCCGATACTGTAAACGAACGTGTAGCACGAAAGTGGTTTGCTTGGTTCCGTTCCGGTAATCGTGGTGCATCTTCGTGAGGCCTTATTAATGATGAGGAACTAAATATAAACCAGAAAACCGTTTGGAACCATTTGCATAACCATGGATTCAAAGAGAAGCTCGATGTTTGGGTGCCACACGAACTAACCGAAAAAACATGATGGACCGAATTTCCATCTACGAATCGTTGCTGAATCGCAATAAAATCGATCCGTTTCTGAAGCGTATTGTGACTGGCGCCCAGGAAGGTTTTGCTGGGTGTTTGGTGGTATTGGCAAGGAATCATCTACTACGAGCTGCTCCCCTATGGCCAAGCGCAAATGGGCCGCTTGAAAGCAGCACTCATCCTGAAGAGGACATCTTTGATCAACAGAGGCCGAATTGTGTTCCATCAGGACAATGCCAGAGCACACACGGCTTTGGTGACGCGTCAGAAGCTCCAGGAGCTCGGATGGGAGGTCCTAATGCACCCTGTCCGGACCTGGCACCAAGTGATTACCATCTTTTCGTGTCCATGGCGAACGAGCTTAATGGTGAGAAGTTGGCCTCAAGAGAGGCTTGTGAAAATTAAAGGAAAGCTCAAGTGACTAATTTTCCTGCTCGTGTTCGGCTTTCTTATCCTCAGAGATACCAAAGGACTATAAGCGAAGAGATATTAATGGCATATTTCTATGCTCTCGAGAACTTTCTTGTTGTTTTCATTTACCATAAAATTATAGTAGAAACCATGATACAATAATTTCAAGGTAGTTTCTGACATTAAACGTGTTTTGGCTCTTTCGTGCTACCCTCTTCTTTTAAATTAAATCTACCTTTTTGAAATAAAAAATATGTGAACAGTTTTCATATTTTTTCAAAAGTTCAAACATTAAAAAATCACGTATTGTATTGTATTTTCCAACCCCTGATAGTGGGCTTCATCTATAGTATGCCTTTTATGACTGTTGCGTTACAACTTTGATAAATTGAAGAAGCTGGCTGGATTTCCTATATTTACGTTTGAATGCAAATTAGTCTCACAGTTTTAGAAATTTTTTAAAGAAATATTGTAAGCAAAAAGGATATTTCTCAAATTCCTGGTTTTCTACAGCCGTATAAATTCATTACAAAAATCTCATAATTACGCTTGAAGTCGATTAAACTTCCAAACTTCCTGATAATACCCATGCTGGTTCTGTGAAGAAGATTCCTCTCATTTTTTTTAGATGTTCAAACCAGTTGGTGTATTTTACGAAATTCAGGAGTTTAATGATGCCTAGACATGCAAGCTATGCTAAACAACCGAAGAATAAATTTCCGAGAAATCGATAACGGACCGCAGAGTCCAACGGGGCTATGACTAGCCCTATCCGGTCAGCACGGCAGGTAGCCAAACCACGGACATTTTCCATATGGTCAAGGAAACAAAGTCACAGTTCCAAAAAAAAAAAGAATGTAAAAAATGTCAACTCTCCAATTTATTTATAATAAAAAGCATCTAGCAAATCCTTTTCTTCTTGCTGCCGCTTATTAAAATCGGCTTGCAACCAATATTTTACTAGATCCATACGTGTATTCAATATCATAGCATCTGTTTAGAAGATGACCCTAACATTAATTAAAAATTCTCCAAGTTGAAAATTTTACTATCGCAACATCAAATATTTCTGTGCAAACACGTTTTGAGTCAAAAATTTTGAAGTGAAACTACCAAGGCGATTTTACTGAAGGTGAGAAGTTGTCACATCTTATGATTGCTTGTTCTTCCTTCCATTTCAAAAAATTACACAAACAAAATATGTAGATGAGAAATAGGTTTTGGCATTTCGAACTTTTTTTTACACAAACAAAATATTGTACATTGAACGATTTTCGTTTTTGACTTTTCGAATCTATGATTACACAAACAAAATATATGGGCCTTTTATTTTTGTATTCTTGCTGCTACCGAGTGTGAATTTGGCTTGGAAACTACCTTATAGAATTTTTGTATCATGGTAGAAATTATATTTAACCTCAATAACGGTATATACAAACAAACTATTGAAAAAAAAAGAAAAAGCAATGAATCGAAAAAAAATTAAAAGAAAACCATTAAAGAACAGAGCAATTTGATCGGCAAACACAATTATATTCCATGGTAAAGCGAAAGCTTAAGGAATTAAAAAACATTCTTCAAATTTGTGTACGATTATTTTTTATTGATTTCAGCTTATAACGGAGAATGTAAAACATGTAAGCAAATATGCATGTGTAAGGGGAAATCTAGTCTAAATTAACTAATAATGTAATATTTATGCATTTAACAACAATCAGCTACAATTGGTTTTTGTTTATAAACTTTATATATATGCATTAAGTAAGTGTATATATGTATAATATAGGTATATATATTTAAATGGAACTATGTATGTATAAATATAATCTAATTGATAAAATATGCATTTTTTATTATTTATAATCAATTTGTCTTTCAAAATTTCAATTCAGCATTTGATTAACTATGCAATAAATACAAGAAAGGAAGAAATATCATTATACTAAACTATCAATTTGAATTAAAAGTAAGGTAGAAATAAGCGTTAAGCTAAAAATTATTAAAAATATATGTAATTTTTCAACCCAAAGTTAAATATGCTAATAAAATGATTTAACAAAAAAAAAAAAACAAAAATTAAATAAACTGATTGCATAAAAAATTTGTGTAAGGAGCGATTTTGAGCTGGTATACGAGCAAGTCCTGTCTGCCAAGTGGATTCAAAAATTATGGGAGCGATTGGCAAAAATTAAAATGAAATCGAATAAAAATAAACTTTCAAAATTTATTTACTATATTAA